GTCATCACGGCTCAGTGACGCCAACACTAAAGTCATGTGATGTTCCTTCGGATGCGTCGTTGACTTCACATGTTGCCAAATGCATTTAAACAAACATTGCATGGTTGCTGTGCTCACCAAAACATCTACGCACCGTAAACCAGGGTGATGCTAACTTCAGGCCTACACGAATGATTATCCACAGAAGTATGCAGACTGTCACAATTTCTCTCTGTTGCAGGTTGCCATGGTTACTAAAATCTCTGAGCAAAGAGCCTCCTGTGTAGCGTCAGTCATTCCTTTAACGCCGAGAACTGGCGTTGGTAACAAACGAGGCGCAAGGCCGAGCAATACATACAAATCAAGGCGCCATCCCCAAAGCAGAGCCCAGGAAAGCAACAACAAGTACCACCCCCTACATCACAACCACCGTCGGGCTAACAATCAGCACCTTCGCCACCCAGCGCTTTCTAAATACTATAGCATCCACACGACCTTCAGTATTCTCCACAATTCAGGAAGAAATTCACGCCAAACTCCACGTTTAAATAAACGTTCAGTGTCTAGACGGCTGAATGAGAACCCTGTGGTCCTGAGGTTATCCAGACGGAGGAGAGGCCTTCCACCAGACACCAGTCCTGTCCTTCCCAATCGGGTTCCCTTGGACAAAAACTCATCAAATGAGTGCCAGACGTTTCAGGACAAAGATGCTCATGTCTCACAGGAGAGTGATATTTACGAGATTCAGCAGAAAGGGGACAATGTTAGAGAGGATTATGTGAACATGTGTGAACGCTCTGATAACCACGATGTGAAAGTTGTAGAAAAGAGATACGGGCATGTTGGAGATGTGAAACTGGAGAGGGGAAAGGGAAATATAGAAAAGCTGCCTGTGGCAAGCACAGCTGCTCTGGAGGCCTCTGATCAAAGGGAAAGCCTTACGAATGTCAGCGCTAGCTATAACCTCATGCCTGCTGGTGAGGTTGTATGGAAACACCTGAGAGAGAAAACACTCCAAAAGCATCAGAACTCTACAATCTTAAAGCCACCTGCCAGGGCGAATGAGTCCAGGGCTGCTGCTGCGAGGACTAGTGTAACTAAAGCTGCTATTAACTCACCAGCCAATTCTTTTTCCAGGCACAGTGCCAAGGGTACTAATAACAGCAAGAAAATGAAGAAGAGTAGTTTACGAGCCGGCACCAACATAGCCCACGAATCCAAAAGTGCTACAAAACAGTCGTCAATGAGCACCACAAAGGACACGTGCAAGGATGGTGCACTTACCATCCGTTGCTGTAGCACTTCCAAAGAGGGGCTTCTCCAGGCCAAGCCTGCTACCTCAGCCATCAAGACCAGGTTCAGCTCTAGGATCCTTCTAAAGCATTAATTTTTAAACAGTATCCAAACATGACGCACTGTTATGTAACTAAGATTTTATGATGACACGTACAGAAATGTTTTTAAAAGCTTTTATTGTGGTGAATAGTGGCACAGCATGATGACGGGTTTCCTTGTCATGTTCTGTACTGTTGTCGTTGTTGAAGATAAAATAAACTGGAAGTCATGACACTGGCTGATGCACTATAAAGTGGACTGTGCAGGAGTGATGATGCTTAAAAGCTGCTAGGTTTCAGTTTATTCATTGTTTGCTTTTTGTCTGTTTGTTTTCTTCTTGCTTGCTAATTCTCTTACTGTATCTTGGAAAAAATTAATAAAAGTATGGGGGGGGCACCTTTTAGCACATAATGGTAAATGGACTACTCAATGTGAGCTGTCAAAGCACTTTTTCTACACGTTTCATTCACCCATTCACGCACAATGCTTTTATCTGTCTAAAGCGCATTTACATAACAATCACACACACTTTGATGGGAGATCCATGAGCCGACCTCGGTGTTCATTATCTGCTTGAAGGATTCTTTGACACATGGACAGGAGGAGCCCGGCATCAAGCCACCGACCTGCTAGAGCACCAGCTCTGCCACGGAGCCACCAGAAGGTCAACGTTTTGTCTGAACAGCTACAGGAGTTGGCCCTCGGGCTTCTGTCCTAACATTTCTGAAACGTGTTGCTAACTTGAAATTTATGTATTCAAAATAATAAATACAGTTTTAAAATTGAAGCTTTAACATTTGACATTTTTATACTACTGCTACAGACCCAAGACATTCGTTTGTTGTACTACATAATGTAGCGTTTAATCAGTCTGCATATTTTATCTGCATTACCAATAGTAACTTTTGCACTATTTTAGGCCCATAATAAACGTTTCAGCTAACATGATTTACTAATGCTAGAATGTAAAGAATGCAATAACAGCACCACTGCTGCATCAAGCAAAGTGCAGCATGACCCCTGAGTGTTTGCTACCCAGGGGATCAAACCCTCTGTGGGGCAGGTGTTGCCATCTTGGAGGATGGAGGTTGGTCCTAGACGATGGAAACACAAGATTTCCACTGATATGTTTCTTGAGTGAGATTAAGGACGAGCCTCATTTTTCCAGTAAGGATTATGCTCCCCTATATTTTTATGCTGCCTCCACCAAAAGCTGTTGTTCTCCGAGCCTTCCTCACACTTTGACCCTATGATCAAACTGCCATAGGACAATCTGGACTCAGTGCTGACAGATGTTCATATCCCAGAACACGTTACTGACACCAGCACAGACAAGTCAAGCTCACGAGTATTAGAATTGCTCATTTGGAAAATCATCGGCTGCAGGATTAGTGAAGCTGAAGCAAACGCTGAGATCACAGCTGTAACAGTGTATCCTGATGCATAGGAAGTGGTTGATTAATAAAATAAACATTTAAATACATAAGATGTTCAAATTGTTATACTCCAGTTTGAGGGTTTCCTGCTTTCTTCTTCTCATAGAGTCAATTTTATAATCTTTTTCTCAGCTGGATGGTTCTCTATGACTCGACTTATAGACAGTTTGCAAGCACCTGTTATATATTACGTGATCAATCTTGGATTCATGGTTACAAAAAGCTGGGACCCAGTTTGTTATGTTAACCCAGGGTTTTCCCTGCATGTTTGCATGAAAGGGCTGATGTGACAACATCTGACCAATCTAAGAGCATCTCACAGTTCATAACACTTTTCTTTCACAGAAAATGATTCCTCTGAGTGTCACCTGTAAAGAAAATAAAAGAAATATACGAGTAAAACACCACAGGATTATAAAAAGGACAAGAGATGAATCGTTCATCTTGTGATTTAGCACACAGAGCAGCAAAATAAACACTTTAATACCAGGTAATTATCTCGTCACTGAGCTGCTGTTTACTTTTAAGGTGATGGAAAGCTAAACTGTCCCACAGGCTGATAAAGGAAACGTGGAAATCACTTTAATGTGTCACAGATCAAAGTGAAAATAATGTGACTGACTGAACAGATGCTCTGTGTAGTAGTAGCTGCTTTTTCACCACAGTAAAAAAGACAAGACAGCAACTCAGAAGTGAAACTCATGAGACCATGTTCAGTCGTTTGTTCGATATGATTTATTTTATTCATTTTGAGCGCATTTTGTCCACACTCCACAACAGTTGGTGGCAGTAATGCGCCATCCTGCTGTTCGCCAGCCGCTAATAAACGTCAACGAGACGGGAGCGAGCGGTGGCTACAGCTAGCTGTCAGGACCAATATCGCGCGTGTCCGAGAGGAATCATGTTTGAAAACTTCAGAGAAAAGCTTCACATCGTCCAGCAGGATTTCACAACGGGGTTGGTCCGCTGTTTTCTGCACTAGTGAACTTTGGGTAACGTTAGCTGAGGTCATGTATTAGGTCTCGCCAGCGTGTAGCATAGCAGGTAACGATAGCTAATGAAAAACAATTGCAGTGAGAGAGAGCAGCGGTTACCCGACCAACGTACAGTTCTGCTTTTGTGCTGCTTTATGGACTCCTGAATGCGTCAGCATACCCAGGACTAATTTCGATTTGTTAGCGTACCGATCCCAGCTGTTTACGTTATTGCTGTCAGCTGACAGTCATGTGACGACCCGCTCCACCAAACAAACTTTTGGAGTGCAGCTGTTTTGTGTGTTTGAGGGAGAGAGTGTGTAATCGGGCTCTATTCTAAGAAGCAGGTTCAGCTAATAACGCGTTTGTTATCTCTGAGATGAGGGAAACTCTGTTTGTGTTCATCAAATAGAGCTAACGTTAACTCTGAGTCCGTTACCAAGGTAACAGACGTTAGTTACGTTAGTTTGTTACTTT